GAACAAGTTATGGCAGGTGGTCCAACTTGTATGAAAATTTCTTATAATTTGTTATCGCAGAGAAGAATAAAAGACTAGGAGAAAAAAAACAGATAAAAAGAAATTGAAAAGAACTCGATGATTTTAACAACTATACATATGTCATTTAGCTACAGTACTAATAAGAATCCATAGCTGGCCTTAGATGTGTCGTTCATGATGATTGTGGTCATGTTTTGTGTACTTTTCTATCTTTTGACCCGTCCATTCTTTTTTGGGTTCATAAGGCCAGTGGAATTGCTCATGCGGTGGCAACTATAATCGTCAAGTAGGGTTGGCTACATTGATGTAGGGGAAGTTGCCCCTCTTGTGGCAACTATAATTGTGACTGATAAATAAATCTTCCTAGGTTTCTTTTGAGTTAAAAAGAAGGGGAACAAAAAAATCAATGGCTCTTTATAAGTTAAAGGAGTTATTTTCACTAATTGCCTCTGGAATATACAATATTAGTCTCGTTTTGCCCCGACATTGATGGGGAATATTTCAAGTGCACATTTTATTATCTACTAGAATATTAGTATAATTTGTATAACAGAAAACTAGATCAGCGGAAAAAGTAAGAACATATATTTACTATAAGGGAAAGGGAATCCCGATTCCATTCTTATAATAAAATATTTAAGAAACCCCTGTTTCCTTATTGTTACTTAATTATTAATAGAATAATTAATTAATCCTTTTTTTCCTTCTAGTTGTCAAATTATAACCCTCCCTTCACTTGTGTTTGTTTCTTTTCTTCTTTTATAGGTTTTTCCTATTTCATTCTAATAGAAATAATCAATTTGATAATTTTTTTTATTATGAAAAGTCGAATCTCTTTAAGAAAAAGTTGTTAGACTTAGGGTGTGTTTGATAAGGGGATTTGTATCCTGATTCGAATCATGGTTCATGATTCGCTACAGTATTTTCTCTCACAAAAAATACACGTAAATCGAAAATGATTCTAGTCCATGAACCAAACGTCTCTTTAAGTTAGTGTCAGAAAATAAATTTTTATATGTTTAATAAAATCTGTGTGACATAATTAAGCAAATTGTCTGGGTGGTGTAGTTGGTTATCACGCTAGTCTCACACACTAGAGGTCCCCGGTTCGAACCCGGGCTCAGACATTCTATTTTGTGCCTTTTTTTAATATATTGATTGATAATTTCTTTTTGTTCAGGGAACTAATTCACGGTTCACCAAAGTATTTTTATTTATTTTTTTAATAAAAAAGGATCTATGAATAATGGTATATTAAGTTTTTTATTCGTCGAATCTATATAAAATCACGTAAAAATTAAAAAATACGCATATCTAATAATTAAAAAAACATGACATACCGATACGTCAGACGTATCAAAAAATCTATATTAAATTAATCTAAGGAACTTCGCTTTATTAATTCTCTTAAGTAAAGTACAATTATATTGATTATTTCTTTGTCTGGGTGGTGTAGTTGGTTATCACACTAGTCTCACACACTAGAGTTCTCCATTCGAACCCAGGCTGAGACATTTTATTTTTGCATTTTTGTAATATATTAATTGATAATTTCTTTTTGTTTAAAGGAAGTAATTCACGGGTTCACCAAAGTATTTTTATTTTTTTAATAAAAAAGGACCTATGAATAATGGTATTGAATAAGGGATCTTCTCAGGTATGCTAATATATCGGTAGATCAAGTTTTTTGTTAGTCAGATCTACATAAAATCACGTAAAAGTAAAAAAAAAAAAATGCAGATCTAACGATTAGAAAAACTTAATATACCGGTACGTCAAACGTACTAAAGAATCTCCATTAAATTAATCTACGGAACTTCGCTTTATTAATTCTCTTAAGTAAAGTACAATTATATTGATTATTTCTTTGTCTGGGTGGTGTAGTTAGTTATCACACTAGTCTCACACACTAGAGTTCTCCATTCGAACCCAGGCTGAGACATTTTATTTTTGCATTTTTTTAATATATTGATTGATAATTTCTTTATGTTTAAAGGAATTAATTCACAGTTCACCAAAGTATTTTTATTTTTTTTAATAAAAAAATGACCTATGAATAATGGTATTGAATAAGGGATCTTCTCATGTATACTAACATATCGGTAGACCAAGTCATTTGTTAGTCGGATATGCATAAAATCACGTAAAAGTAAAATAAAAAACGCAGATCTAACGGTTAGAAAAACCTGACCTACCAGTAAATCAGACGTACTGGAGAATCTCCATTAAATTAATCCATGGGAACTAAGCCTTATTAATTCTCTTAAGTAAAGTACAATTATATTGATTAGTTCTTTGTTGAAGGGAACTAAAACTTTACTCATTCACCAAAGCATCTTTTTTTTAACAAAAAGCATAACATACTAAACAATAGGCTGCAGTACAGTTCCCATTATGAAAATGGTAGCAAATAGAAACATTTTAACATGTCTAGACAAGACCTCTTCTAATATCATCAATGACATAACACATTAGCCATAGCCATTAGAGAAAGTTGCAGAATATACTTTTAAAAATATATAAGTCAGAATTTTTACTACTTATTTTTTATTAATATCATTTTATTAGTATGATTATTTAATTAAAAAAGTTATTAATTAAGAGTAAGAGATAAAATTTTTAATTCATGCACTTTTAAAGAGTATTTATCTCTTTTCTCGTGACATTAGCATCCAAAGCTCACAACCATATTCCTCTAGTATATTGTCACCGGTTTGAAACTGGACTCACAAATTTATCCTTTAAAATAAATTTTTTGAGCTATTAGATTTGATTTTATTTCCACATCAATATCATATCCGAATTTAGAACACCAATCATAAATTTGTCTTTACTGTTTCGGAAAAAAGAAAAAAAAATTTATCTTTTACGGTATTTCTCGAGTAAAAATTACACTGGCATGTTTATAAGAATGGAAATGAAATGTAGGAATTTTTTTTGGAGTATCTTAGAAATAACAAAATCACGCCCCGTAATTATTATAAGAAATAGAAATATGACTGAAGAAATAATTTTTTTAGCAATAGTGAATATGTTTGAACTATTGCACTTACATATTCGATTATATAATAAGCATCACGCTTGATTATATAGTGGGTAGTATTACACACATCGACGGTTTGACGTTACTTTCTGAAAGCTATTATTAGTTTTTTACTTTATATATTCTAAAAAAATTCAGTTCTTATATCTAAGTTTTAGTATCTAACTACAAAAAAATTAGTTAAAAAATAGTTTAAATTTTTTATCCAATACGGTATGTTATGATTGATTAGACACTAATTAAGACATTAAAATTAAACATAAAATTAGTTGTTGTTTGATACACTTCTTGTAGCACGAAATAATAAATATCACCCTTTTTTTTTTTTGGAGTGCAAACAACTTCTTTTTAGAGTGGGTATTGATATTGAATTGCACAAAATTGTTTCAAACTTGATGCACTAGCATATTGATATTGAATTGCACAAAATTCATAAAGTTCTTTCCGTAGATCGATCTTATTAATTATTATACTCTGAAAATCAATTTATAAGTTAGTATTTTCAAAGAGTGACAATTGATTGAGACGCGTACGAATAATTTTTTTTTATTTTTATTTTTTTGAAGTTGGAGGTGAATGAATTTGAACTTTGTACTTATAATGGAATTAGTTCTGAAATTATCGCTAAGTATGCATGCAACTACAAAAATCCTTCGTTTGTACTGTGAATTAGAAGCAATTATATTTAAGTTTCATAAGTAAATAATAATAATAATAACAACAACAACAACAATAATAATAATAATAATAATAGCAATAGAAAAATTGGCATAATAGAAAGGAGCAGTCAGCCCAAGAAAAGAAACGAGAAAGAGAGAAAAGGAGTGTGTAGGTCGAAATTCTGAGACCTCCAGCCCCAAAAATTGGTTACAGGAGTCGCATTGTTGTGGCAAGGTAGGTTGGTTGGGGTAGATTTGATTTTGTTTAGATGATGAAATTCAAACAGCTTGGAGGCACTTTCTAACGCAATCCTTGTTTGGTGGTTGTACTTTTTCAGTTTTTGTTCCAAACGGTAGTGGCTTCTTTTAGAGGTGGTAATATTAGCTTCGGATGCTGACAGTGGTGGTGCATGTGTTTTACGTTCTGCTATTTGAAGCCATCTTGTCGGCTTTGCCACTTGTCTCTTTAAGTGGTATGCCTACCCTGATGACTTTCATTGAAATTTGAAGGCTTGCAGCGATTGTGCTTTAAGTTTTAATTGTTTATGTTTTAGTTTAATGAAGGCGACGATATTTCGGGCAAATAGTTTTAGTATTTTCTTTGTATTAATGTTGGTGGTTCTCCCGCTTTTTGAGGTTGTTTTTTGTCTGCAAAATTTAGATCTTGACAAGGTAGAAGTTTCACTAATTACGGGCCCGTTTAGTTCGCTGATTCGAATTGAGATGTGATTTTATGTGAGATTTTTTTACTGCAGTAAAAAGTTAGATGTGACTGTTTCTAAGAGTTTTTTTACTGCAGCAAAACTCAAATTCTAAACTCGAATCGGTGAAATGAACGGAACTTACAAATCTAAGCGGAGATATTTGTGACTTTAGAGCTACAAGGTGTATTATACGGTAATTATTTCATAACATTGTTTTATTTACTATAACAAAAAATAAAAAAAATATTATTGCTTGGGTTAGTTAGAAATTGAATGTGTATCAATAAAATCATTTTTTTTTTGTTTTAGTTTAGGGAATAAGTTTGGTATAATTTTTATATTTAATTTTTAATCTATTTATTAAAAAATGAAGTAATTTTGGTATTTTGTTAAGTTTAGGGATTAAATTTAGCATAGAAAAAATAATTTAGGAATATTTTATGAGATTAAGTTAACGATTTTAATTTAAAATTTAACAGAGGGATTGTTTATGAGAAATTTTTTGACTTGATAGATAACTTATGAGATAAAATTGACTAGAAGAACGAATTGTAGGTTGGGAAAAATGTTCAGCAACTGTTCGTGGATTTAACTCAATTATTATCCAACCACAAATCCATACAGAACTAAGCACAAAAAAAATAAAATAAAATAAATTCAACATCTTCAGACAATTTAGCAGCGGCAGCCAAGCCCTTCTCGAATTTACTGGCAAGGTCGCGAACTGAGTGAGAGCCGTTTCTGCTGCTGCAACATCTGTGCAGTCTCGCGCGCAACAACCTTTCTCATTGATAGCATTAAAAAAAAATCCTAGTAAAAAATAAACAAGAATTTTCCATCCCCAGCCATCGTTCCCTCAGGCTTTCTGCCATGGCGAGCAACGTAGCCAGGTCTGCTTCTGAGCCGATTTCAAGCAACTTGTAAGCCAAAGCTCATCCATGGTTAGTTTTCTGTTTTTTAAGTTTTGTTTGAAATTGGGATTGATTTTTGTCGTGGAGGAACCGAGTCTCTGGGGAGATGTTAGTGTTTCTGTTATAATCGTTCATTTCCCGCTGCTTCAATTCTGATATGAGATTTCATAGATTTTACAAATCCCAAAATGGTTTGCTTTGGAATTGGGAAATCTTAGCTCACTGATGTTTAATAGTGGTTTATTTGGGTTATTTTGTACAATTTGCTTGCAAAATGTGAAGATAAGATTGAGACATTAGGGAGTGAGTGGGAACAAGACAATGGAGGTGATTTACATGTCTATTTGGGGAATGTAGGAAACAGTAGAGTGAGGAGATGGGATCTTCGTTATAGTTACGCCCGAGATTTGTTTTGCAAGCTTAATTCTATGTTTGAACTTCATTAATTTTCAAGATTGTGATTTACACCAATGGAAAAAGAAAAAAGTGAAATTTGTCTAGTTACATGTTCTTCATTAAGACTAAAAGAAATATTGAATTTTAAACATGCTTTATGCCCTAGATTGGTCTTTTATTGCCTTGTTTTGGAGCAAATTTTTACACAATGTGATTGCTTACTTCCGGCGTGCTGCCTTGAAACCTAGTTGAATGATTTATGGTCTTTGAGTTCCTTTATGTTTAACTTTGACAGATAGATCTAAGACATTTTTGTCATGCCAAGAACAAAATGCAACACTTGGGCGCTTTATATATATATATATATAATACAGTCCGTTATGCTAAGATCTTATGCGTGAATTTAAAACTGAAAATCTGTACAGATCTAGAGAATCTAGTATTATGATTTGACTAAAAGCAGTATCATTCTCTTTTCTTTTATTGTCACCAAATAGGTTTTCAGGACCGGTATCGATAACTGATTCCAGAATTTCATTCCAGATCTAATAGTCTCAAAACAAAGAAAACGAAATGCGAACCAAAATGGCTCTTTGCTTCCCTAGCTGCTTCTTTCAATAACTATTTTCTCCAAATTGTAAAACTTATCATCGTTTTTGATAAAATGCAAGTCCAAAGACTCTCACTTCCAAACACGCTCTCTCCATCCATTTGTTCACACTTTCTCTCACCTGCACGCAAACCAATGACCAAACTTTTAATGTGCAATCCAAATTTCATATCTGGGTTTTGCAATCCCCTCAAAAGGGTCTCCAAGTCACCAATTAGTTTGCGAAACAGTGGTGGCTTGGTTGGGATAAGGTGTGGGGTGGTTGAAGAAGGAAGTCGCAATGATGATGCGGTTTATATGAGGAGGTGTGTGGAGATTGCAAGGAAGGCTATTGGGTGTACCAGCCCCAATCCGATGGTGGGTTGTGTTATTGTCAAGGATGGGAAGATTGTTGGTGAAGGCTTTCATCCTAAAGCTGGCCAGCCTCATGCTGAGGTAAATCTCATTTGTGACTTGGATTTTTTTCTTCTCTTTCTATTTGAGGGGATGACTTGGAAAAGTTAATATGTTGTTATCTTTTGTTTTTCTTTTCCCTTCATTGCATTTTTGGGTTGAACAAACTTAGTTGATTTGTTTCTATGGATTTTGTACTCTTTTCCCCCGAACTTTTACTGAATTGGAAATTATCGTTAGAACTTGTAACTGTGGTCTGTGGTACATTTCCCTTGAATATATACATGGTATGGAGTGTCCCCAAATCAATAAATGAAGTTAAAATTTGGAAAGAGGCGCTCATGACGTGCTCTTGTTTGCATATGAAATGTTGGTCTCATCACTTAAATGAGCTCACATTGCATGTACGAGAGTGTTTCTGGTTTTCATATGTGAAGACACTACGCAATACTTTGTTAAATTCATAGGCTAATTTGCCAAAATTAAAAGTTCAAGATTAACATGAGTTAGAGTTTTTTTTTTTTTTTTTTTTAAGCTCAAAAAACTTTTTAATATTTTGAATAGGCAATTTGTTGTATAGGTATTTGCTCTTAGAGATGCAGGAGATTTGGCAGAGAATGCAACAGCATATGTAAGCTTAGAGCCATGTAATCACTATGGCAGAACTCCACCATGTACTGAAGCTCTAATCAAAGCCAACGTGAAAAGAGTGGTAGTCGGAATGGTCGATCCGAATCCGATTGTAGCATCAAAAGGGTTGGATAAACTGAGAAATGCAGGAATTGAAGTTACTGTAGGTATAGAAGAAGATCTATGCAAGAGCTTGAACGAGTCTTTCATCTGTCAAATGTTGACGGGGAAGACTTTTCTCACGCTTCGGTAAAGAATTCATTTCACTTGCTATTAGCTCTGATAATTTATACATTGGATATGGATATTATTGGGCATAGGTATCATTATGGGAGAAGTTAGGTTGTTAAAATTACAAGTAATACAACAGAAGTACAAGATACCAATTCTTTTTCTAGATTTGTATTTTAAAAGAGACCTTATTCCTATTTTTGCTCCTGTATTGGGAATCACAATAGGTGTACTAGTAATTGTATGGTTAGGAGGAGAAATAACCGCAGGGTTACAACAACCTCTTGGCATGTGTCATATGAAATTCTTTTGTATGTGCATATTTGTGTGCCAGTATGTATACTTGCTGATTTTCTTATGTGGATATAGATGTTAAACTATTTAAATTGATGGTCTCTTCCTGACTGGCAGATACTCCATCTCAGTCAATGGTAAAATTGTAGATCAGATTGGCGAAGGAGCTGTGGAGTCCGGTGGGTACTACTCGCGAATGTTACAGGAATATGATGCTGTTATAGTATCTTCCGCCTCAATAACTGAAAAGTTTTCAATACCTACTTCCCAAGAACCTGGAGCCAATCAACCCCTTTGCGTCGTAGCAGCTAGTAATCATAGTTCTTCAATCAAAATCTCTGATTTGCCCGCAGAAGCTGCTGCTAGGATGATAATCTTCAGTGACAAAGAGAGTAAACTCGAGCCAAAACTCTCTGAGAAAGGCATCGAAACCGTAGTCCTGGATCAGATAAGTTTAGATGCTATTCTCGAATATAGTAAGCGCCAAGGATTTTGCAGTGTCTTGCTGGATTTAAGGGGGAGTATAGATGATATTAAAGAGCTACTTCAAGAGGGTATTGAGAAAAATTTGTTGCAAAAAATTGTGGTAGAAGTAGTGCCCATGTGGGTTGAAGGTGATAGTAAGAATTCTTTTTTTGGATTGAAGAGCTTGGATAAAGTAATAGACATAAAGAACTTGAAGCCTAAAGTCTCAGGTCAGAGTGTTTTGCTGGAGGGATATTTTTGAGTGATTGGAAAAAAGGCGTTTTGGCCAATTTATACAACATTTTCTTTAAGCCAGCTTTGCTTTGTTTAGTTAGCTTTTTTTTTCCTCTCTCTCTAGAATCAATTATCTCTTATAATTAGGTGGCGAGTTTCAACAAACAATCACCCAGTAATGACATTTGACTGTGGTTCTAGTCATAAACCTGGCAGTAAATTTACACTTGATTGCCCCACGAGGTGTGGAGTTGAAATTCATCATGGTAAGTCCTAGAATAATAATAATTGGCATTTGAATGGCATGTTTTCTCGTGGCATTTGTCTTCAGAATGTAAAGCAAATAATTTGGTCTCAATTGTTCATACTAGTACATGGCGTCTTGTTACCAGGGACTTCTACCACGTTAAAAAAATAATATAAATAAATAAATGAATTAATAAATAATAATGAGCTGGTTTGGTAGAATTACGAGTACTGGAATAATTTGTTTGCTCTACATGAATCTCGCATTATTATAGGTAAAATGTGAGTGGATTTTCCAAAAAAAGAAAAAAGTGAATGGATTTAGAGTCAATAGTGCACAAGTCAGATGTTATTGTTTATAATTTGTGCTCTATATATAGCTTGATATCACAACAGGCTCTAGATGCACAAATACGACTAGAGGAATTCTCTTACAGATAAAACCTACTAAAAAGGGTTTTTTGACATCACTTTTGCTTATTCTTTCAGCAATAGAAAAAAAAAAGTAAAAATTATGACGTCTCATTCAATTTGTGAATCCAGATTTGTTAAGAGCTTAATAGGAAAAAAAAAGTTTAAATTTTTAATACAAGTAACAAATGTTATTGGACGAAACTTGTAAAAATTTTATTAAGGAACTCAAATATTTTGTCAAATTTTAGTGTGTTAATTAGTGTTTAATCAATTATAGCATGCCATGTTGGATAAAAAAAATTAAACTGCTTTTTATTTTTAACTAACTCTTTATGCTAATCATAAGATGATATAGTACGATTTGATTGGTTAGACATCAATTGAGATATTAAAAATTAGATTATCTGAATCCTTTTTTTGTGCTTGAGAAATAAACTTAAAGATGACAATATTCTCCACAGGGATGAGCCCCGCCTAGAACGGGCGAGGATGAGAGATAATTATCGAGGATGAAGATGGGGATGGGAACAACATCTAGTCCCTAATTTATGGTGAGGTGGGGACGGGAGAAGTGTTCCCCACCCCGCCTCCGCCTAATATTAATGTGCAACTATACAATAAAAATTAAAACTATTAGGAAGAAACAAGGAATGATCATTTACGTTTATATTTTGATGTTTTTAAACTTTTTCATGAAACATTTGATTTTGGTCTAAATTTATAATGAATTTTTACACTATTTTTATTTTAAATTACTATAATTTTAAAATAAATAATTTTACATAATGAGAAATGAGACGGGTATAAAAAAAGCTCTTTTAATAAAGAATCTCCGACATCGATCCGGCTCTTTCTTAAGCGGCGATGGAGACAGTTTTTTAGTAGCAGGAATAGAAATGGGAAATCATCCTCCGCCTACACCCCATCCTATTGCCATCCCTAAATGAACTTCGTAAAGTCTTCAACAACATTCGACTCCCTAGTGCTTTCTAATCAATTAATACGTGTGGACCCAACGCGGGATATTCATGAAACTTGCGAGTATTTTTTACACTTCTCATGATGTATTTAATATTTACACATTACCATTATCATCAACCCCCACCCTCAAAGGAAAAGTTATTTATTGAAAAAGGAAAAGGATAACACTATTGTTATCAAGGTGCAATAATTGTTACCCAGAACAATATTGTTATAAAAGGTGCAATAATTGTTGCTTATAAAAAAGGGAAAAAAAAATGGGTTGCCATAATTCAATCATTCAAAAGATGCAAGTAAAAGAAACTTATTCCTTACTAGACTTTAGAATAAGATGGAGTTTACGCCACTCTCTCCTGAAACCAAAAAACCCAATCTTGAAAGTTAATCGAGTGCCATAAAAACAACAAAATTAAAATAGTCTAAAAATTCCCAAGGTTTTACTCACTAATTTTTCTTACACTATTAAACATAGTACTTGTCCATTGCATGTATTCGGGGGTTGCTTTCCTCCCCTGCTATTGCAAAGAAAAAGGATTCTAATTCTAAGAAACTTCAAAAAAAAAAAAAAAAGAAGAAAAAAAGTGGTACAATATCTGTCTAGTCTCTCTACTACCAACCAACATAAGCAATGGTACTTTCAAATATTGCACTTATAGAGCACCAAAAAGAGCAATAATAATACATGAGGTAACAAACAAAAGCATGACTTAGTAACCAAAATACTCCTAGCAATTTACATGATACTGCAACTTTCGGTATTTTCGTCGCTAAAGAAGTGCGTATACGAGTCCGTTGGGGGGTGGGACGGCACCGGCGCGGCGTAATTCACTGCGGGGTGCGGCCGGGAGTACATCATTGGCTGGAACATGTCACTCCCATTGCCCCTCTGTTGGTTCATCATCATAGCCATGTACTGTTGTTGGCTATATGGGTTGGCAGGCACATGACCCGGCCCAGGCCCCATCCCCATCCCTTGGTAGTATCCATTATTCATCATTGCTTGTGCAGGCAAGCCTTGTACTGCAGGCACACCACCCATATGACCCATTGGGTAACCACCCATTGGGCCCATGCCCATCTGGCCCACATTACCACCATTCCCACCATGGCCCATTGGGCCCATTCCCATCTGGCCCAAAGTCCCACTGCCCCGGCCCATATCACCCATCTGGCCCACTTTCCCAGCACCGCCACCTCCTTTGCCGCCTTTGCCATGACCACTAGTGATGTCAATCTCAAAATCATTCTTCATTTTGTTATTCTCATGCTTCTTGTGATTCCATTCACTTTTTTTCCCATTACTAATTTTTTTCTCATCACCACTGAAACTACCATTATTGTTGCTTCCCTTCTTGGAAACACTTCCCCCTTTGCTACTACTTTTCTTGCCAAAACCAAATAGCCCACGCAACCCACCTTTCTTCTTTTTCTTCCCTCCATTTTTCTCTCCACCACTCATTTTTTTACCATTCACTCCTCCCCCTTTTCCTTCCCCACCACCCTTTTTACCTCCATTCCCATTTTTACCATCCTTATTCCCACCCCCTTTTCCCTTCATCTCTATAGGAAAATCAATAACCCCACCTTTTCCTTCCTTATTTCCTTTTCCTTTTCCCTTCACCTCTAGAGGGAAATCAATAACCCCACCTTTTTTACCACCACCACCACCACCACCTTTTTTGTCGTTCATGGCATGCATATCAATACCCCCTTTGGGTCCATATGGCCCATGGGCCATCATTGGCATCATCTTTCCGTAAGGCCCATTTCCATTCCCTTGCATAACATTCACCTTGTTAGGCATCATACCCTTGTTAGGCAAACCATGACCATGACCATGCCCAAACTCATCACCCTCATCATACTCGTCATCAAATTCATCATCATCATCATCAAACTCATCGTCAAAATCATCACCAAACTCATCAAAATCATGATCACTCATGTCAAACTCCTCTTCCGGAAGGTTGAACTTGACGGATTTCTGGTCCTTGGGGGGTTGGACCTTCACCATGTCCTTATTAGCACCTTTCACGTGTTGCACTTGCACACCTTTTGGCTGGTCTTTCCCTCCCTTTTGAGGCTTGTTTTTACCGTCAATACTCATGTTCTTCAACTGGTTATTGAAGCCTACTTGGTTGTGAATCGAACCGCCCTTTTGAACATGGCCCCACAACTCGGCATGTTTCCCGGACTTCTCAAGCTTCTTTATGAGTTTCGCCGGATCAACACAACCAGAAACGGCCACTTTCCCTTGTTCTGCATCTATAGATACACTATACACACCTAGACCAAATATATGAACAATTATTATAGAATGAAAACGACAATTTTTATTTTATTTTCAAGTATCAGAAAAAAAAAGGAGTAATAATGTTGAGTTAATTTGTAAGAAAATTTACCATCAATTTTCTGCAAGAGTTTCCTTACTTTCTGTTTACAGCCATCACAGTGTATATTGACCCTCAGAACACAAGTCTGCATAGAAAAAACAAAACAACCCCTGAAAATTATTAGAAAGGAAAAAAAAAAAAAAGATTTAAAGTAAATAGAGAGAAGAGAAGAAAGCGAAGGGTAGTTTTTGAGCTTGGTTTAATAATTACGTGATAAATGAAAATAGTTATAAAGGGTGTACCTGAACCTTCATAAACTCTTGTTTACTCATCTTTAGAGAGAGACTGAAGCAGTGAGCAAAGAATAAAAGACAGAGAAAGAGAGAGGGAGAGAGGTTTAAGTGAGAAGTAGAGTTTTCAAAGTCGGCTGGTGAGCATTAAACACTTTTTCCGGTTTAATAATGTTCTAAAGCTCCTCGCTTTCTCTCTCTCTATTTGGGGGGTTTAGTGTTTTTGAAAATAATGTTTTTTGAGAGAGAAAAGAGGGAGAGAGAAGAGGCGGTTACTCAGTGTGCAAGGCAAAGTGAACAGCTGGAGAATAGCCTGTCTGGCGAGACGACGGCTTTCTATATGTTGTATGCCTTAAAATCTTTAAAGGACAAGGCTTTTATCATTTTTTTTAGGGTTAATAGTTAGAAGCTCTCTCTCTCTCTCTCTCTCTCTCTTTTTAATTCTTTTTAGTGCCCAAAAAAACTCTATTTTCAGTTATAAAATTTATATCAAATTTTTTTTATTTTTTATATATTTTAATTTGATATAATTTTAATCAGATTTAATGATTAAAAACTAATCATATTGATAAAAAGACCTCAAAAAAACCTCTCTTTTTTATAATAAAATAAACAAAAATAAAATATAAAAAACTTGCAGTTATTATGATTATAAGTGGATCCCAGTAAATATAATATCAACAATTAAGGACTTGTTTGTTTTATGTGTTTAAATTCGTGATTTTAATTCTAGTACAATGTTTTCTTCTCATAAAAATTTAAATTTTAAATGACAAAATCAATAATTACTAATTTAAAAGTAAGAACCAAAAGGACCCTAAAAGCTTTTTATAGTGTATAATTTTAAATGTTTAATACGATTAAAACCACGTTAAAATAAAAGGTTGGTAAGCTTAAATAATATTTAGAATGAATTTAATGGTTTAAATCAATGCCTATAAAATAAAATTTATTCTTTCATATCATATGCGAGAGAAATTTTTTAACAATTAATACTATGCCAGCAGTGAATATTTTATTAGGTATGAATCATGAACACTGCCTTGGACCCTACTTCCAGTTAATCATGGCTGTAATGGGCTGATCACCAGACCCATATCCCGACTCTCTTTAAGTGGCCCAGCTTTTGTTTGACCAAAATCTGGCTTGTATCTCTGCCCACAGAAATTATCATGTTTTCCGTGAATTAAACAAGGCAAGAAAAAAAAAACACACATATTTTCCTTGGTTAAAGGTTTCGGCAATGTTTTCTTTTATTTTACTTTCAGACATCATACAGCTTTCTTAATGATTAAATCAAGGTTTTTTCGAACCAAAAAGACAAAAGGCCATAATAACTGTTGAGCCTAAACATGTATAAAATTAGCAGGGCATATGCCACTGCCAGTGCCAGGTTATTGCCCTAATATTTTTTCCTTATGAAGACTTTTATTTATTTATTGCTACGAAAATATCTTTTCATAAGGTCACGTGGCCAGCTTATTAATTGGGTCATGTGAATATAATGGGACGGTGATAAGAAAATCATATGAGGATAAAAAAAAATGTATGAGGAAGTAATGGAAGTATGGGGATCACCAACATCTCAATATTAATTATTTCAAAATTAAATGCGATTTGTACTATACTGAGAGAAACCACTTTGCGGAAACACACACATTTACATAGTATTATATACATATATCTGGATAAGGACTATAGCAATAGCATTATTCTAAATTAGGTATATCCACTATACTAATAACAGTAATTTTGATAAATATGTGTCAGGATTTTTATATTTTATTCTTAATTTATAATCTTTTTAATCAAATAATTATACTAATACAATAATATTTATCAAGAGTAAAAGGTAAAAATTCAGACTCATACATTCTTACGGGTAAATTTTATTTTTTTCTATTTTTTTTTTTCAAGCTCTATCGAAGAAACCACCCAAAAAGCATGAGAAGAAAAAAAGATATATAACTTAGGTTGTCCTTGTTTGTTCTTTATTTAAATTCATCTCTAAACAATTGGTAAAAATTTATCCTTTTCTCTGCAAAAGAAGTTTGAATGATGACAAAAAGGAACCCCACTACAAGGCACAAGATAAACATCCAACCTTACTAAAATCCTTTATGGGGTTTAGTGTTAGATCACAAAAAAAGAAAAAAAGAGCTTTTTGAACCCCAAGTTTTGACTGACCAAACTTCTTTGCTCACTGGAAATCAGATTGGTATGATTAAAACTTGTTCATTTGTGTGATAGTGTGATCTAATGACACTTTATGGTCTTTTTACTTTTCTCCAGTTGTTCAAATCTGGTAGGCTTAAAGGAAATAAAAATCGGCAAGTATAATATTAAAACCTTATGGAACATTCGACCTCATAAGGGGAAATTAAGAGAGTGATTTGCTTTGAGATACTCCACTAGAGAAAGATTTTGGGATTATGAACTTTTTGGATTTAAAACTATTCACTTTAATCATAATATAGTTTCTCTGTCATCATTCATTTCACGAATATCAAACGTGTAGAGTTATGCTTGGGAGAGAGAGGGCTTATTGGAACTTAAAGGAATGCCACTTATTCGCTCCTAAAGACGCATTCTAATAAATTGGATTTAAAACTATTCACTTTAATCATAATATAGTTTCTCTGTCATCATCCATTTCACGAATATCAAACGTGTAGATATACTTGGGAGAGAGAGGGCTTATTGGAACTTAAAGGAATGCCACTTATTCGCTCCTAAAGACGCATTCTAATAAAAATTGTGTTCTTGTAGGACTAAAGTGGATAATATGAACCTCCCGAGTCCCAGGATTATTGATTAGAGCGTGGACTAGTCATTCTTATGTTATAACTTTAAATTCAATAGATTCTAAAAGTGATGCTGGGTGATAATGTAATGACACTTTTGATATATTTTTTCGTAGCAAAATAATGCAAGTGGACAATATGAATCCTTAAAAAGACGGTGACATTTTCTTACTCGTGCCCAAATCAAGGAGAGTTGGAAGGCAAAAGGATTGCTGGATCAAGGGCAGTAGTTGTCTGACCTCTGAATGTTTCAGTTCTATTTTTCAGAAGAAAATTTGAATTTTTGGGGCATTCTTTTTCTGAGACCTCTGAAAAAAAAAACTCCCTGCGTTAGTGTTGTTTTAACCTCTGCAAATTGTATGTTTTTTGGGGACAATCCACAAAACAGGATATATACTATACACAAGAATATTACTGATGAGCTGTGTAAAAGAAAAGAAATGCATATTCCAGGAAAATGAGTAGTGCCAGGCTTTATTCTGCTTTGGCCTTCGCTTAGAGAACTCTTTATGCACGTTCAAATTTGTAAGCTAACGGTCAAGAGAAGAAAATATTCTAAGCTAACGTTACATGAAAACAAAACCACAAAGAAGTAAGGGCACTACTGCTATTAATTTTTTACATTACAGATTCATGCTCTACCTATGTGAAATTAGAAATGAACATTAAAATACAATCATTCGTTAAAAAGTTTTAGATTGGAACAAATAATGCAACAGAAGAAATTTGTGACATGACATGATAAAATTTTATATCGCTATCAAGATCCGTTGAATTGTCATATACTTTTTTCAATATAATATAATCATCATCACATATTGAGTTTAGGGTCATATTATAACAATTTGTGGGTTTTTTCACTGTTATATATACTCTGTAGTTCGAGATTATTAAAAAAAACTCATGACTTGTATTTTAGACTCTATCACATTTTTTCCTTCATATTTTGAATTTATGTACAATTCTTACTTTTCCCTATCAATGGTCAATTTTGACAAATGAAGAAATAATAAGAAAAAAATCTTTTACCAACAAAATATTAAATTTAATATATATTTACATGTGAAAATATAAATACGATACAATTCAAATATAAGTTACAAGTTTTTTTATAACCTCAAAATGTAGATGGTAGCCTGTGGGGTATATAAATAGAGTTTCTCTAATAGGAATAGAAAAAATAAATTATCAATAATTTTTTATTTTTAATTGTTAAATTTATATTAAAAACTGTTTATTTTACATACATTTTAAAATTTAATGTGATTTTAATCTAATCAACAGTCAAAAATTGACATAACTAGTAGAAAAATTATACAAGTGAAAATCTCCTAAAAGAAAAAAAAAACCTTCTTCAAACAAGATATTTTTGGTACCATACCACTAATTTCTAATAAAACAACAAAAACAATGCATCAACATTGTCAACTGATAATCATATCATTTCTGAGTTTTAACCAATGATGTATTTGTACAGAGTCGCGTGACCTTGAATTTTACATTGGCAAGTTTATGGTTAAAAAAGTAGAGTGTGAATCATGAACAGACTCTCGTACAACCGCATAGATTCTGCAGGCTTATATTCCTTGCTGACTTTTTCTTTCTTTTGTTCATCGCCAAAGTAAAAGAAAAAAAAATACAAAAGAAAAAAGAAAAAAAAAAAGAAAAAGAAAAAGAAAAGATCTTATGGGGATTCCTCACCGACAGTTTTGATCAGACGTGTGAAGCTGAGCTGATGTTCTTACACAGAAAGATCATTTTTTCATTTACTGTCACGCATGCATTGCCTGCTGTTTTCACTTCATAAACTTTTTGCTAATTTTTCTGCGTCGTTTTAAGCTGTGAGCTGAGCTTCAATTTACGTTACCAGTTTTGAAACTTATGTGATCCGACTCGTTCGTTTCACTGATTTAAATTTTTAATTTAAATTAAAAAATAAATTTATATATAAAAAAAGAATATAAAATAAAAAGTTAAATTTAATATTTATAAAAAAAATACTGTAATAAAAATTTAAATTGTGATTTAAATTAACAAAAACGAAGGAAGCCACCCAATATTATAATTACTAGACTATTATTATAAATGACAAATATTGTAAGTGTTCAATGGTCCGGTGTCTAACCAGAGACATTTCCCGTAGACTTTCATATTTTGTTACCACCTTTAGATATAAAATTTACCTCCACAATTAGGGAATGTTTGCCATACTTTTATTCTTAATTTCGTAAGTAAAGATGGGAAGAAACATCCGTTTCTCATTCCCTTTCATGTGAAGTAAGCTCATTCTGTTTGGTTCATGAATTAGAACCATGAGATTAGAATTATTTTCGATTTACGTATGTTTTTTGTGAGAGAAAATACTGTAGCAAATCATGAACCATGATTCGAATCAGAGAATGAATCCTCTAACTAAACGGGCTCTTAATCTTATGTATGAAACTCATGTTCTTTTGTCTAAAAAACTCAAAAAAGACAACTCGAGTTCTAACTTTATTCAAGTTCATGTTCTTTTAAGTTTCAACTTTATTCAACTTTACTCAATTTTATTCAACTTTACTCAATTTTATTCAAGTTACAACTTCAACTCAAGTTATAACTCAAATTTAACTCAAAAACTACACTCAAGTTACACTCTAAAAAGAACAACCCTCTCTCAAGCATAGTAGAACTTCCCAGGTTTTTGGTCTTATGTGTGAAACCAAAATTCACGACCAAGAAAAATTGCATAAAGTAAAAACTTATTGGGAAAATTTTAAAATATATCAAAATAAAAAATTGTGACATTTACAATTTATTCGACTCGGAAATAATCTTCTACAAGTCTGCATTGTCGACTTGCAATATATATTTCCTACCACAAGATACTCAAAAACAAAAATACAAATTTATATATTCATTTTCTTTTTATCTTTTTTTGTCTTTTTCCAGGGAGCTATTAATTTGCTCCTTCAGAATATTTTGGGACTACGTTCGTACAAGCACATAAGAGGAGTAAATGGATTGGAGTTTGAGGAGAAACAAACAAAATGAAAATATTTAATGAGGTAAGAGAAGATTTATTTATATATTTATTTATTTATTTTGTTGGGGCATTGACAAGCCAAGACAATTATTATGTGAGGGGGGGTCCCGAATAGAAACAAAAGGATGGGGTTGGGGGTACCCTTATTTAAGGGACACTCACTAACTCTAGCAGAGATGGACCAGAGAGAAGAGAGGCTTCTTAATATTTCTTGTATTTGACTTGACAAGCTCAGTTGGGAGTTGGACCCCAACATAAAGGAAGCGTACACAGTAGTTGTTGGACAATCAGCCTCATTCGCACAGGCCTCCATCATGTTCTTACACTGTACATAATGGGGTTTGACGATCGACTTTGTTTTCAATTTATTGTGCTAACATATCCCTAGGCGTTTCCAAAAGAATCTCAGATGCTGAAAAAAAAAAAAAAAAATTGTTTACTGAAGACCGGCGTGATTTCAGACACTTTAACAGTTTGTTTTGGTAGGGTGGAAAAGATAGGAGGAAGCGGCGTGATTTCAGACACTTTAACAGTTTGTTTTGGTAGGGTGGAAAAGAGAGGAGAAATAAAATAGATGAAGAATTTTATAGAAGAAAATAGAATTTTAAGTTATTTGGTAGAGAGAAAATGAAAAATGATGGAAAATATAAATCTATGAGACTCATTAATTTTTATAGTTTTTATAAAATTCTGAACCGGTCTTAAATTTTTAGGGTTTAGGGGCCAATTATTTCTCTTTTAAGCCTGCCCCGGCCCGATCCTAAATTTCCTTTGAGGCCGGACCAAGCTGCCTAAATTTATACATCTACACGAACAAACAAGCCCTTAGTCTTTGATGTTCAATAGTCAATGAAAAAAATAAAAAATTTAGTCTTAAGAGTACATGAGTTTAAATCTTTACTCTTTACTTTTAATAAATATTTTTTTATTAGTATAATTATTTAATTAAAAAAATTATAAACTAAAAATAAAAGGTACAAATCCTGACTCATGCACTTACTTATCAAGATTACCATATGTGCCTAATAGCATGGTTTTGTTCAAAAGGGAAAACCCATCAGCACGTCCAAAGTTTTTGTGCCCATGTAATAACTGTTGGATATAATAATATTCAGTAATCAGAGCACTGTCATGGCTTTTGTTTCAATCAAACTGAACTCTAGGGAATAAATTCCCTGACTACATAGCTTGGGATGAATGTTATACTGTTGTGATATTATTATAGGCTAAACTGTAATAATGTGATCAAGTTAAAACATTATTTGAAACAAATAGAATATTTAACGTTTGTTTGCCTGCAACAAGTGCAGTCCAAAATGAGTCAAACTGAGTCAAGTCAGAGAGTTGGAATGTGTAGAAACCCAATGCATAAAGTGAAATTACAATGCCTATTGGCAAACAGACTTCATTTTCACAAAAGAAATTGTGATAAAACTAGTTAAAGTCTGTTCCTTTTATCAAATCAAATTTTTAATTTTTATCAAATTAAATTTTTAATTTTAATATTATTACAGTTAAAAACTCTAAAAAATAGTCACATTTTATTTACATTAAAAACTCTCACGAGTCCTTAATAAACCACCTGAGAAAAGAAAAAGGAATTAGCCAATATGAAATGACACAGAGGTCCATAGCCTCTTTTACTTTTTCTTCTGTAAAGAACAAACCCAACAAAGATTCCAATCCCCAGCAATAAGTATAGTCACTGATTCCATTTTTTCTTTTTCTCTTTTTCTCCTTTTTTTTTTTTTTCACTTTTAGACACCTATCAAGACTAATATGTCACTTTTGTCCCCCTTCTTTTTTTACTTCCTTGTAAAGCCCACAAATCATCAGACAACCCAACTCACTTTTCCCTCTTATGCTAACTTGTGTTGCCAATATTCCTTTGTCTAATTCTATTTTTCCAAGTTTCACACCATACATGCCCACTACACAAACATGCGCATGCTTTTCATTTTTACTCGGGGGGAGAGAGAGAGGAGAGGAGAGAGAAACAAGTGCCAACATAGACAATGACCTATGCTGTTCTTAACCATCTGAAATACTCAAAAGCCCAAAGGAAAGAAAAAGACATGTTTAAAGTCACTTCTGTAGCAATCCAACATAGAATGATCAATATTCCAATCATTCTTGTAAAGCTGTACACAATGTTCTTTGGGATGGAAACAAATTGATTTTATTTTTTTCTCTCGTCATAAATCATGGCAAACTATATTCTGATTTTAATGTATGAAATGTGAATCTTTTTACGTTTGTGGTTAAATAAAATTCAATGCCTGAAAGCTGATAAAGTATAAACTGCCTCACAACTAACTATTGTTGCTTCAAAACTTGAAAGTCTGCTTCAAAACTGTAAGAATGATATCCACTCATGAATCTTGAATGTTGAGGAAATCTGGGAAAAAAACCCCGCTCAGGTTGATGCTGGAAAGAGAGACAAAAATTGTTTAAGATGGAGAAATTGCTATTAAACAAGATATAAAAGAAAGTAAATTATGCGAGATCGATAAAACAACTTGAGGGAAGAGAACCAAAAGAACGATAGGCAATTTAAACATTCCATTTATGATCAATCAAAGGAAAAAAAAATCATTGTTAACAATAAAGTTCCAGAGTCTTCACCTTTATCAACGTTGATCACTATAAGTTCTTGTATGAGCTGACGACAAATCGGACACTTGTTTGATCGAGCCCTCAATGCTTTTGCACAATCACTACACATGCACTGAAACAGAGAATCGAAAATCAAGACGGTAAGGGAGAGAACGGGAGAGAGCTGAGTTGAGGCAAACCAAAAAATAACTAACTCTATTTGTTAAGGCAATGTAATTTTAGCTCAAATGCTTCAAAAACAAAAATTTACATCAGATTAACGAGAGATCACATGAAGAAAGGGTGCATGATCACATGAAGAAAAGGCGCATGCACAAAAATGATCGGGTAGATTTTCTATCCACGAAAAATTTTCATGCTTAAAACAACAGCAGCTTAATTAGAATTAAGCCCAAGAAAGGGGAAAAAATGTCCAAAGCACAGCAATAAGTTTTACGGAGTTTCCATTTTTTTTCATAGTAATGTGTTGCTTTTGCTTGGTAGCCAGTTTGAAAGACGACCATTATAAGTCCCATGACAAACCTGGATGCGCAATTATCCACAAGAACCATGCACTAGATATGTCGAAAATCAAGTTAAAGACCTTAAAGTTGTCGAGCTATGTGCTCTATCACTCAGGAATTCAGTAGCACTAATTAATACAAATCAGTATAACCCAATCCGGGTCACAATGATCAACAGAGTTTCTGGATACAACTCGCACCATCAGCAAACGAGGGCCACCAACAGGGTCATCTTATGTGTTTCTTCTGTACCTAGACCAGCCACCTATCGGTAGCTGCATATTATTAGTTTTTACTATCAAGGACTTTCCTGAACTGGGAACAAAGTTCCAATATCTAAATATCTCTCTTGGATTGGGTATGGGATAGGAGGCCTATACATCCACTTTCATAGCTGGCATTGCATAGCAGGTGTGTTACTGGAATAGTTGCTTTATTACTTTTGTCTCTTAGCAACACCTTATCAAGTAGTTGTTCTGTTATTTCTTTCCCTTATGACTTATTTCTTCTCTACAAATGGTAGGGTCAGTAGAGCAGGTGTATCGTTTTCATAGCAGGTTCATTGCAGGTATAGCAGTTGTATAAATTAGAAGGCTTAAAATGCTAGTAGTGGCCAAACACTGACCTCTAGATTAATGACTAATGTTTAATAAAAAAAGACCAGAGAGTTAGTTGTTCTATTTAGCAAGTTATCCAAAAGTGGATGAAAGCCCAAAGTAGTGTATCAATTTCTTGAATAAGTTGTTTAACTAATATACCACAATTTGGAAAGCAAAATCAGTCAACCAAGCTTATCATAATAGTTGTAATCTGAGATTTAAAGGCAAATAGGCATAATCAGAACATGCACAAACAAGAGCAATTGTAGACAGATCACATAACTAAAACAGCAGCAAATACTAGGTCATACAATGGGGGACAATGACTTAATCCGTTACCAATCCAGCAGATATTATATTGCAGAAACAATATTAAGACTCTTTTACCTCCCTTTCCAATAAGATTAACAAAGAGAATGAAAGTTGGAGCCCTTACCATATGCCGACAAGGCAATACAGCCGTATTTTTTGGCTCCATCATGCATATCACACATTCTTTCCCTGGCTCACTGTCATCAAAGCCTGATTTGTCAGAATTTCCAATTCCATAGAGTTCACATAGCTCATAACGAACCTCATCAATCCACAAGATCTGCTTGATTACTCTCACTTGATACTGGCTGTCTTTAGTCTCATCCAGTACAGCTTGAGTAATCTGTGTGTGAGGAGACGTAATTGAATGAGGTTGACCAGACTCTACATCTGTCGAGGGATGTGGGAATGCCTCCACCTGGATGACGAGCGGGAAGATACCTTCTGCTGTTGTCGAGTTAGATAACTCATTCATTTCAAAGAAACCTAGGTCAATGCCAGTTCCAGATGGCTGAAAAAATTTCTGGTCTAGACCTTTCTGAAATGGGATTTTTGTTGGCGTATAATATTCTGGGTATACTGGAGTAAATGTGCAATTCACCCCCTCCTTGGCAAAGTAGAATATGGTGATACTGTCATCAAAAAAGGGGAGAAAACAAAAGATCAAGAGTTCAGCAGCTACTGCACAGCGGATCGAAGTATAAACATCAATTCAAGTTGATCGTCCCATCAGCCCAATCCCCATTAGTTAGCAGTGAATAGTTATATCAATACATTGACAGATAGTCTAAATTTTATCAGAAGATCAAAAATACAAACATCTTATAGATATGGTAAAAAGTGACAATATGCCACACAATGCAACAATCATACGATCCAGCACATAACAAAATTGGAACAATTTCTCATCTCGTTGGACATCAATTTCATATTTTTTGTTTTTTTTTTTTGTTTGGGGTGTTTTATTTTTAAACCCAAAAAAAAAAAAAAAAAAAAAAAAAAAAAACTGAAAAGCCTTTCCTCCACCATCAAGGATACCTCATCGGCCGCTCTTAAGCTCAAACAATTGCAACGAATTCGACGTTCACGTGGAAACTAGTTTTAACACATTCACCCGTTCTTTTCCTTTCAAAATTCAACTTAAACCTCTCTTAAATTTAGAAGCATAATTAAATTATTACAATATAACCTACAAATTTGCATTTTTTTTCCCTAACACCTCGGAATAAAAGGTACAATCTTTAGGCATACCCTAATTGCTCTATGACAATGGTTCACAATTTGATCAAAATCCCATCAAATTCAAAACAAAAGAGCCAAGAGAACACCAAGTCAAGTGCTCATGAGTTCCAATACTTATTCCTAATAAAAAAGATTATCCAACTGAAATTCGGGTAATTATCATAGAACCAATTAACAACATTCATTAAAAGAACTGTCAAGGCCAAACGAACTATCCAAAAAACAATAAACCAAATATGCCAATAAACATCCTTAAGCGACAAAATCATGAAAATAATAATAAAGCAGAAAAAAATCTAAGGAAAAAAAAAAAAAGATAGGAAGAAAATGAGAAACCCAGTGGGTTACTTTACCTGCCATCAACGAGAGCATCGAAAGTGAAAGAGACCAACAAGGAGTCTGAATCGTCGTCGTCACGAGTAATCCTAATGGAGTCCTTATGCACATTGACGTCGTTCTGGATCTTCTTGGCCGGAGCGAAAGAACCGGAGGGAAGTGGGCCCCGCGCAGGATTAGCCGAAGAAGAAGAAGAAGAAGAAGAAGCAGAAGCAGAGGAAGAAGAAGGGGGTTGGTTGTGGCGGTGTTGTTGTTGTCGTCGTCGTTGTCTTGTTCGTCTTCCAGTTTGGTTCCTTCGGGTTCTGCTGAAGGAGAGACCCATTTCTGAACTGAACTGAATCAAATGGAATGTTTATGTTTTCAAGGAAGAGTGAAGTGAATTGTAAGCAAACGAACGGCAACTTTTGCCTTTTTGTCTTTGATAGTGATGGTGACTCACTTCTTTCACTTCTCCGCTTTGGATTTTTGAGCTACCAAATGGCAACGGGGTTCTCACTCGTACACGCACGTGCCATTATATTTGTACATGGAACATAAGGCATTGGCGGTGACGTGGCGTTGATGTATCTGACTCACCACCATGTGCAGAGGCACACACACAGTGATCGAACTCGACTTCTCTGCGCCTTCTGCTCGAACCACGGTCTCTTCTCGCGTTAGACTAGTATCGTCCCACACCGAAAAGTGAAAGGAAGTCTCGGAGCGAGTGTCTACTAAAGGTACTCCGATGCTGAGATTTGTGTGCTGATTGGGAGCAATAAATAGAGCGATAAAAGTTAGGTAAAGAATTTTTTCTTACCTCAAAATGATGACTGTGAGGGTATTTTAAGAGACGCTTGATTCATGGATTAAAATTATGTGATTAGAATTATTTTTTATTTACATATATTTTTTATGAGAAAAAATACTATAGCGAACCACGAACTATTATTCGAATCAGGGAACGAATCTCTCAACCAAATAACTCCTTATAGATTATTGTTAGGTTTGAATAGAATTCGTGACCCGGGTTTGATTGTACAGTTGTATAGACTTTATAGAATTTGGGACATATGTCACTCATTTACGATTTTTGTACTATATTTATTTAAGCGTGGAGATGATCTTGATGAAATTTAAGATTCGTAAAGTGGAGACGACATGTAGAGAGGTGAGAGATAGTTCTTAATTTATTAGTTAGAAATTTTAATTATCAAAATTGAAAAATTTTAGAGGAAGTTTTCAATGTTTTCTTTTTAGGGTGTAATTCCCGTAACTAGATATATGTACATGTATTATATATATAAACATAAGTTATTTTTGTGCATGTCTATTTCTCATTTTCTTTTCTTTTCTAATAGTGCACTTTTTTCGGCCTATTGTCTCAAGTATTTGTTCAACTTGTTTACATTTTTAAAGTTGCTTTAGTTTACTTATCATGTAAAGAAGAATAACGGCATGTATATAGGTGAACTCTAGCGAACTGGAGATTTTCTCAAAGAGTTGGCTCCCGGAGACGTCTTGTTGGAGAAAATTCGGATTTGGGAGGATGAAAAGAATAAAGAATTCAGAAAGAAGGGTTTGAGGTGTATAGGAATACTTTTCTTTAAGGTTTTATTTGCCCTCACTTCTCAAAGTTTGTTAACGAGTTTTAAATGGCAAATTACCCCCAAGATACAACAAACCCTTGAACACAATATCCAGCAAAAATATTGAGTTCCAGAACAATTGTATGTCATCTGTATTTTCTGAAGTCCATCATATAAAGACAGGGATGCATCCATCATCTTTAAGTGTTACAACCTTTCACATAAAGATACCTTTTCAATTTGATGGTTATCTTTTATATGCTGATGCACTTATAACAATATATATTATTTCTATTGTTAATAAGTGCTCAAATATGTGAGAAAACATATCACAAATATATACAATGGTTCGAGACCTTTTCATATCACTAAAACACACGAACACATTTTCCGTCGAAGATTTGCGCTGCAGCGCTCAAACGCG